GGGGGGGAGACTCACCCCCCTTAAGCCAAATCTCCAACTTGGTATTCTGTCGCAGCCATGCGATGGTCTTGTCCCATCGGATGGTTGGATCTATCCATTGTTTATTAGCTTCACACCCAACAACCATAAACCAAGATAGGGGTAAGGGAATACCATAACCCCTCTCATACGTGGACTTCAACCCCAACTCCTCCATCCCCTCCGCCAGGACGGGAAACCGCATATCACTCGGAAAGTTGAAATTATTCCGGGACTCGTTTAATCGATTTCCCAACACCGGCAGATCGACACTCACGAAGAGGGCTTTATATCCTGCCTCTATCCAATCGTCAGCCTTTCCCCTCCCACCACCACCATATTAAACAGATGTAAAATAAATGGGTATAACCTACCCTCCGCCCTCCTAATAACCCCCCTCGTAATCCCCACATCCCTAAAGAACGAAACCTGCATGGCATACGGATTCCCGTTTCCCTGGGCAATCACATCTTCAATCCCCGTCGTCGCCCACGAGGAGAGACACATTGGGATGTTGTGTTTCGCGGCCGTGCGGGACGTGCCGATCTCGCCGTCCGAGTGGGCGAGTTTGTGGGCCGCCGCGGGGGCGAAGCCGAAGGGGAAGGTGATTTTTGTGCCGAAGATCGTGGTGCTGGTGTCGAGGGCGTCCACGTCGCGGAGGACGCGCGGGAGGAGTTTGTATCGGTTGTAGGCGGACTCGTTGTCTTTTAGGCTGGATCATCAATTGTGTTAGGGTTTGGTTTGGTTATTTGGGGAGGGGGGGAGGAATGTACGTGATGAGTTCGCCGGCGCCTTCGTTGAAGTAGTCTGTTTCATGTATTAGGTTGGATGTGAGGAGGGTATGAGGATGGCTCACCGCGAACGACCGGGGGCAGGCGTTTCTGGGCCTCTTGGGCCAGATCGGCGATGGTGAGCACCTTGGCGTCGTGGTCTTGTGGACGGTTGGCCATGATGCTATGGGTATTGGTGATGTGATAGGGAAAGTGGCTTCATTATATCTATATATAATTCGCGAAGATTCATGTGGTGGTCAGGGAAGGCAGTTCCGATATCCCATGGACTGGTATAGATCAACCGATAAGATAGTGCTGGCTGCCGAGGCAAGTCATCCCGGCCGCGCCAAACAGGAAGGTGATCGCTTCCGATAAGATAGGGTGTGCTGCGCGTCACCGCTGGTCTATATCTACTGCATCACTGCACACGACATACGAGACACGACAAGACTGAACAGGCATTGAGCGCAAACAATGACACCGTCTGTCCACCAAGTCCTACCTACCTCCGCGTACTACGCCCCCGGCGTCGTCTCGACGGCCCCCCGACTTCTTCATGTATCGGGCCAACCGGGCACCATCGAGGGCACCGCCCCGGCGGACTACAATTCGCAGATCCATCTGGCGCTGGTCAATCTGCACCGCGTGATGGCCGCCGTGGGGGCCACCGTCCGCGATGTGATTAAACTGACCTACTACATCGTCAACTACGACCCCAACCACCGTCTCCACACCCGACCCCTACAAACCTGGCTCACCGGACATCGCCCCGCCATGACCCTCGTCCCGGTGCCCAGTCTCGCCGTCCCGGGGTGGCTATTCGAGATCGAAGCCACGGTCGCGGTACCGGAATCCGTGCCCTCCTCACTGGCCCTAACTCAACCCACGGAGGACGTCGACGTCCTCGTCATCGGCGCCGGCCTGTCCGGTCTCATGGCCGCCGAAACGGTCCTCCAGGCCGGTCACTCGTGTCTGGTGCTAGAGGGCCGCGACCGCGTCGGCGGCAAGACCTGGTCGTGTCCCCTGCCGAGCGGCGAGGGCGTGATTGATCTCGGCGCCGCCTGGATCAACGACACCAACCAGAGCATGATGATCGAACTGGCTCGACGGGCTGGAGCGGAGCTAATTGAGCAGAACACAACGGGCAATTGTCTGCTGCAGCGAGAGGACGGGGCCGTTACCGGCTTTCCCTACGGACAGACACCTCGAGTAATGTGCCCCTGCAGTATACTATAGTATTTCTGACTGACCAGCTAGATCACGGCCCAAATGCAATCCGAAATGGAAGCCATCCGCGACATCGCCGAAGCCGACTGCCAGGCCCTCGACTGCCGCCACCCCCGCGACACCACCCTCGACTCGCTCTCCTTCCTCGCCTATCTACACTCCCGCGACGCCAGTCCCGCCGCCATTGCCAACGCGTCCGTCTGGACCCGCGCCATGCTCGGCCAGGAGCCACAGGACGTGTCCGCTCTCTACTTCCTCAATTACTGCAAATCCGGCGGCGGATTGCTCCAGATGCGATCCGACCGGAAGCACGGCGCGCAGTACTTGCGCGTTCGACAAGGGACACAGATCTTCGCAAAGACATTAGCGGCGGGATTGCCCGAGGGGACCATCCGGCTCGGGGAGCGGGTGACAGCCATCACGCAGAAAGAGCGCGGAGTAACCCTCGTTGAGTCCAAGGGGAGGGTAATCCAAGCCCGTAAGGTGATTTGCTCCGCACCAACCCCCGTCCTCAAAACCATCCGCTTCGACCCTCCCCTCCCCGCCAAGAAACAGCTGCTCGTGGACTCGTTCCGCTACGGCTACTACACCAAGGTGATGTTATCGTTCCGGTCCGCGTGGTGGGTGACGCGCGGGTACTGTGGTCTGGCGCAGTCCTTCTGCGGCCCTGCGTCGATCTATCGCGATACCAGCAGTCCAGCGGATGGGAAATGGGTGCTGACGGCGTTTTTGGCCGGTGATGCGGGACGCAAGTGGTCGGAGTTGGGGAGTCAACGGGAGCGGGAGCAGGCGTTGTTGCGGCAGTTGGGGGAGATGTATGGGGCGGGGGATCTCCCGAAACGGGAGTTCATTGAGGCCATGGGGCATGAGTGGTCGACGGAGGAGTTGTCGGGTTGGGGATGTCCGTGTCCGGCGCTGCCGCCGGGGGTGTTGAGTGCGGCGGGCGATGCGCTGCGGGAGCCGTTCCGTGATGTCCATTTCGTGGGGACCGAGACGGCGGAGGAGTGGAAGGGTTATATGGAGGGGGCGGTGCGGAGTGGGCGGAGGGGAGGATTGGAGGCTGTTAAGTGGTTGAGTCGGAGTAATTTGTGATGATACTACAGAAAACACTACGGAGTATATATCTGGATTATTTCTACAGCGGACGGAGCATCAATTCCAGAATGTTGATAATTGATAGTTGGGGGTCAGGGCACGTGCCCGCGCTAAGGTGACTGTGGCCTCTCCAATCTCCTCTGAGTTGAACCATCAAGATGCCCGTGTCAGGATATCATCCCCCCCGAGCTGCGGGTCCAGATCCTGACCCTCTGGGCCATCGGCGTGTCCACCCAGGAGAGATTTCCACTAAGCTGGCCGTGCCCGCCCGCACCATCCAGCAGATCATCCACAAGGCCAAGGTCCGGGGATACAATCCCCAGGTGGACTTTCGCATTCGCAAGGAAACATATTGAAGACGGCAAGCGATCAGGGCGCCCTCGAACGCGTGAGGTAGCTCAGCCTGCCAGTGCCGAACCTCAGGACCCGGATAAACGCGTCTCCGAGACAGGCTGAATCCATCCCGACGCCATCGCTCCGTGTCTCTTCAACAGCAGCGATACCATGCCTCCATAACCACCATGCCGCGCCTGCGCCGTCTCCTCTTCGGCTCCCTCCTCGCTCTCTGCCTTCTCTACACCCTCTACCACCACCGCACGCCCTCCTCCCCTCCTCTGCAAGCCATCCCCCCCGACTGTCCCTCCCACCCCGACCTCTCCGACATCCTGGTGATCCTGAAAACCGGCGTCACCGAATCGCGCGACAAAGTGCCCATCCACCTGACCACCACGCTGCGCTGCATCCCCAACCACGCCCTCTTCTCCGACTACATCGAGCCTCTCTCCCCTAGTATCTCCACCCACGATGTCCTCGCCTCCCTCTCCCCGGCTCTGATCGCCACCCACCCCGACTTCGACCTCTACCGCCGCGTGCAAGCCCACGGGCCAACCGCTCTCACCCCCGCCGACCTCAACCCGGACATCAACACCCCGATCGGCAAACCCAACAACCCAGGCTGGAAACTCGACAAATGGAAATTCCTCCCCATGCTGGACGAAGCCCTGGCCCTGAAACCAGATGCCAAGTGGTACGTGTTCATGGAAGCGGACACATACATTCTCTGGGACAATCTCCTCGCCTGGCTGCGCCGACTCAATCCCAAGGACGCAATCTATCTCGGGAACCAGATGCAGATCGTGGATGCGATCTTCGCGCATGGCGGGTCGGGGTTCATTCTGTCGCGACCGGCGGTGGTGAAAGCCGTGGAACATCGGAAGCGGAGTCGTGATGGATGGGAACGGGCAGTGGGGGAACATTGGGCGGGGGATTGTATGTTGGGGATACTGTTGCAGGATGTGGGCATTGAGTTGACCTGGGGTTGGCCTATGTTGCAGATTGCGCCGCCGGGGGAGATGGATTATTTTGATTTGGGGTATGAGAGACGGCCGTGGTGTTATCCAGCGGTTTCTTTTCACCATTTGGATGGGGATGGGATTAGGGAGTTGGATGCGATGGAGAGAACGTTGAAGGGGAAGAAAGGCCCGGTGGTGTACCGGGATGTGTTTCTGAATGTGATGAGGCCGCAATTGCGCGATGTGCGGACCGATTGGGATAATCTCGTGGAGGGGGAGGCAGTGTCCGTGACCAGCTTCGCGGCGTGTCGGGGGGTGTGTTCGCGCGAGGCACTCTGTCTGCAGTATGCGTATAACGAGACGACGAGCGAGTGTCGCACCTCCACTGCATTGGCCGTAGGCCACCCCCAACCCGGGCTGTCAGCCGGCTGGATGATGGACCGGATTGATGCGATGGCAGACAGCCTGGGCGAGTGTGACGAGATCAGCTGGATATGATCTACCCAACCGTCCATTATACAAAACATTCATATTTGCATTGTCACAACCCACATCATATCATACATCCACACGCGCTAGCCAGCTAGCCATAACCCCCTCCCCTTCCCCTCTCACTATACATCCACCGTGGGAAACCCCTTCGCAGGAGTATACCCCTCCACAACCCTCACCTCCCCACTCCCCCGAATCCTAAACTCCCTGGCCAACCCCACCCCCTGCAACCCCGCGACCTCGCCCTCCCGAAACCGGAACTTCCCAATGACCAAATCCCTCTCCCCATCCCAATCACAAAAATCAAACACATGCAACTTATACCGCACACTCACCGTCCTCCCACCCTCCTCGACCCTCACCACGCCCGTGACACTATACACGAACTGTCCTAAACTAAGATACCAATCCCAGCTCTGCTCCGGGGTGACCAGATACTCGTGCCAGAAACTCGTAAACGAGATACTGCTCAGATGGGGGTTCATGAGAAGGGACTGGAAAGCTAATCGGGCTTTGAATTCCGCCAAAGCGTGCACTTCTGCGCGGAACCCGGGCAGGGAGGCCATCAGGTCATCGGGGGAGATGGGGGCGTCACGACCCGTGTTGGAGAGGTAGTGTTGCAGGTAGGTTGCGAAGTGTGGGTGGCCTTGGTTGTGGGCGGTGCGGGCGAGGCCATAGAGGGTCGTTTTGGTGATGTGGTTGGTTGTGTCGGCGATGCGGGATCGCCATGGATAGGACCGGGAGGTGGCGGGTTTGGGGGGGTCGAGGGGGGGTGGGGGGAGGGTTGCCCCGTAGGATGAGATTGTTGGGTGGGTTGTTGTGAGGGTGATGAGAGAGAGGAGAATGAGGAGTATTCGCATGATGGGTAGTATGATTGATTAGATATGGAGGATGGATGGAGAAGAAGAAATGGCGACATCGTAGGGAAGATTGTGCAAGAGTGAATCCCCACGAGGGAATACCCTAAGATCATCCCTCAAATTACTGCATGCATTCTGTGACACTCATATTAAGGACTTTCTCACGATCAGCGTGGCGAGTGGAGCCGCGGCTTGTTCGCGCCTATGGCAGTCCCTGACTGTCCCTGCGCAGCCTTATTCAAAACAGGGACTGCTTGGCGATCGGCAGATTTTTGCCAAAGATGGATCACAACTCAGTCTACTTTGCCGTGTGTTGCCGTTCCATGCTACGGAATACTGACAGCTGTGTCAGTGAAATCTGCTACGTCGCACTATTGTATCGCTCCTGGCCTTGGAGTTCGATGTCAACTTGCCGGGCGACCGTTGCGCCGCTGGATCTCAGCCGTTAGCAGTTATCAATCCCCACATCGCTCCAAAGCTTGAAACAAATAAACACGGCCCCCACAGCATATGAAAAGCAATCGCCAAGGAAATAAGTGAAAAGGAAGACAAACGACGGAGTATTAATGCCAAAATTGAAACAATTGACCTGTCATACCCACCCCCTAAGGGACGGAATATATACCCTCCACCCTAATCTCATCTCCACTTGTTGCTACGACAAACCTTGCTATTACCTGCATAAACCCCTATATGTCGGGCAGTGTATTTCAGAGTATCCGATATGATAAGCTGTCCTGTTAGCTAGATTTGACGAGCTTGTCTTATTGCTTTCGTCAAAGATAGGAGGAAATTTATTGAGATTGATAGTAGTTTCAATTCTATCTTGGACATCTTATACCAAACCCTTAGTAGAATATATATAATAGCGCGTATACTATCAGAACGGCGTAAAACTCCATGAAAATCCCAAACTTTTATAGTCACTATCAAAGCACCCACTCAGCGATTACCACCATAATCAGCAATCCCAACCTTCCACAGCCCCCAAGAACCCCCTAAGCATACAACTTCAATTGGTGCCGGGTAAGGGGAAGTTCCCCTTACCCGGCACCAACAAACCCCAATATCTTCACCCCCATCCGTCCACCCCGGCACCATCACCGTCTTCCCCCACCGTACCCTCCCCTCCGCCACCCTCCGCCCCTCCACATCCACCCCGGGATGACACGCCGCACTAATCGCAACCCCACAACCCCCACAACAAGCACCCCCCCAATCAACAACGCCACGAAAATGGCAATGGGCGAATACCCCAACGCACTCACCGACTTGCCCCTCCACCGGCTCTCCAAACAAATCATACGGGATAATCCTCACGTAGAATAAACTCTCCGAGATCGCCCAGTGCAGGGCTAACGAATATCACCAGTAGCGGGGTGGTATATTGATAGGGTATACTTAGCCAGGAGGTTGATTTTTGCTCCGTGTTTGGGGTTGGGTATGTTACCCGGAGAGGGCTCGGGGTGGTATGGGGGGATCGAGTAGGAGGCGTATTCGGCGGCGACGAGCATGCTCGTCATGATGTTGTTGTAGAAGTAGTAGGTGATGGTGATGATGAATTGGGGGGGTGTTGGCTAGGAAGACGTAGCCCATGATCGGCCAGGAGAGGAGGTTGTTGATGATGACGCTGCCGGTGGCGGTGCCGAAGCCGAGTGTCCACCAGTATCGAGGCGAGGGGTTGCCGATTCGTCCAACGATGATGTTCTCCGATCCCAACTCGAAGCCACTGCCAAAGACCGCGCCAGCGACGTCCCGGGGGCAACCAGTGCCCATTGTGCACATGCTCCCGGAAAAGTACGAGGACTTGCCGGCTGATTTCCCCGAGTCGTTTCGGGATCTGGCGTCGTATTACCGGACGCCGAGGGCGTATCATCCCCGGGCGACGAATACGTGTTTGCCGCGGAGTTGGGATCTGATGGCGAATTTTGATGCGTTTCGCTGGAATAGCATGATTAGTCCGCGGCCGTTGTTGATGATTACGGGGTCGAAGGCGGCGACGAAGTGGTTTACTGAGGAGGGGATTGAGAGGGCCAAGGAGCCGAAGGAGTTGTTTGTGGTGGAGGGGTTGACGCATGCGGATTTGTATGATCGGGTGGAGGAGCCGGGGGTGAAGTTGGTGGAGTTTTTTGGGACAAGTTTGGTTTGATACCTGATGTATGTAATGATCATGATTTTATGTTTGAGAAGGAGTTATCTGAATCGGAGCTTGTCTGGATGATCTGGTCAGTATCCGCACGATCTGTTTCTGTGTATTGCCGCTTTTATTGGATCAGATAATTGGCTGTAGTCTCAGTGAATCCGGGTACAATGTGATTGCCTGTATACCATGAGTATCGCTATCAGAATGAAGGGGTAAATCTTTAGGCATATGCCAACACAATATCCCGCCTGTCGGCAATAAGCCAGACTGGCTATGGTGTGCTCCTCCGGTTAAATCTCTCATTGAACATCCCACACTCAACTCATCCAACATCACTGGCCAATTCTCCCTAAGCGATGCCGACCAGACGGCATTTCCCGTGGTTGTCAAGCAAAGATTGGTCTCGGGTGACACGATACTGCAGGGAAGTGGGGACTGTCGTGTCATCGGACAGGAACAGGTAATCGATAAGATGGACACAGATAATGGATCTGATCTTCGATGACCGTGGTACAGACACTTCCGACCCAAGGCATTTATATCCAGCATGCATACACTTCGCAAACTGCATCAAAATAATAACAAGACAACGCTCTCTTAACATCCATTCCCGAGGAGCACGGCATTATGCAGTTTGGCCCCAATGTATTCGCGGTCAGTGCGTGCTCATCGCGAGCCCGGCTCGCGTCATCGCAAAGGCCCATGGCACAATCCACCCCACCACGCGATCAGTGACAAGAGCCGAATGACACTCGGTAAACAAACAACTAGACACTAGTTGCAGTTCTAAGCGATGTTCATGATGAGTGCAAAAGGTCAATCGATGGTGTTATCGTCAGAGCCGAGTTGCGGACTCTCATCAGGCATGGTTGATGACGGTATAAATGAGGTCGCTCAGAGCAAGAGTAAAACCAATCTTGTAGTGTAGAACCAAAGCACCACAGCAGATGGCTCCTCTAAGACAGTACCTGCTGCTAGCAGCGTCTCTCCCCTTTGCCCTCGCAGATGGACAATACCGCTCTCGTCCCGATCTCGCACCCCCCAAGTTGAACATCACCGTCCCAGCCCCCGGTGCCAACGGCACCGAGTACGTGTTCCTCGCCCCCTACGGAGGTTCCATCCAGCAGGCCGGCGCATACATCTACCGGAAGGACGGCGACCTCGTCTGGTCTGGAATCGGATACTATAACGGCTTCGTCGGGAACTTCCATCTGACGACCTACCATAACGAGACCGTACTGCAGGGCTTCCAGGGCACAATTGACACATCGCATGGAGAAGGGTTCGGGCAGCATGTGATCTTGAATCAGAACTATGAGCACGTGGTCTCTGCAAAGACAGGGAATCATCGCATTCCTTCCATTCACGAGTTCAACGTCATCAATGGGAAGACTGCCCTGGTGGAGATATACCTCCCTACTGTGGCGAACCTATCAGCCTATGGGGGAAATGCATCACAGAAATGGATCGGAAATGGACTCTTCCAAGGTACGTACCTCCCAAACCTTATACATCCATTCTAACCCCACAGAATTCGACATCGAAACCGGCGACCTCATCTTCGAATGGAACTCTCTCGACCACGTCGATCCCGCAGGTTCGTCCATCATCATCACCTCACCCACCCACCCACCCATTGACTAACCACTATACTGCTGTGCTATACAGACAGCCTGGTCCCCCTTAACTCCTCCACCACCGAAAGCGGCCTCACCGCCACCACAACATGGGACTACATCCACCTAAACAGCGTCGACAAAGACCGCGAAGGCAACTACCTCCTCTCCTCGCGGCACTTCAGCACCATCTTCAAGATCAACGGCACCGACGGCTCCATCATCTGGCAACTGGGCGGTCACCACTCCACCTTCACGTACAACTTCACGTTCGGATTCCAGCACCACGCTCGGTGGCACTACCAGTCGCCGACCACAGAAATCATCTCCTTCTTCGATAACTCGGGAAATGGCGAAATCACATTCAACAATGTCTCGCGGGCCCTGATCGTCCAGCTCGATCACGTAGCTAACACGGCGACCATCCTCCGGAAAGCAACAGCCCCGTATAACATCCAAGCGGCGTCGCAAGGAAACGCGCAACTGCTCCCGAACGAGCACATCTTCGTGAACTGGGGCTCCGCGGGCGCGATCTCGGAATTCGACGCCAACAATCAAGTGATCTATCACGCGTTCCTCGAGAACTCGGTAAGTTATCGTGGATTTCTGGGTAATTGGACCGGGACGCCGTATGAGGTGCCGGCTATTACGGCGTACGTGGAAGGCTCGGGTGCGGTGAGGTTATATGTGTCGTGGAATGGGGATACGGAGACTAAGGGGTGGAGGTTTTATGGCACGGGGGTGGGCAATGGGACGAGGTATTTGGGGGCGGTGGAAAGGAGGTCTTTTGAGACGGAGTTGGTTTGGAGTGGGCAGGGGGTGACTAGTGCTGGAGGGAGGTTTTATGCGGAGGCTGTGGGGGTGGAGGGGAGGGTGTTGGCCAGGACGCATTCGGTGCAGGCGACGGAGTATATTGCTGTTGATTAGGGGATGGGATGATGTATATATGGCTCATGAATTGGATGATATAGATAGTGCCATCTAGATAGTAGTCACGTTTTATTGGCGTCTTACTATGCCCTTACATAGTAGGAATAAATACTTGCTGGTCAACTGGCTAGTGGCAGGTCATCGTGCATGTCGCGGCATTGGCTGGTGCTCAATCCAAGACATATATCTGATCACTTTGTGATTCCAAGGCAGATGCAAACATAAATAATTATGCAGCAGCAGCAGCACATTCCGTGGACAGCTACTATTACCACATACGATCTAGATCTCTCTGATTGCTGCAACACGCCAAGCCCCTAATGCAGGAAAAAGAAATCCCGCGAATCAGCGTCCGCTTCATTAATTCTTCAGCTCCGAGGTCGGAGTCCACATAACGAATCTAATTAATTAATCTACCAAATTACTCCGAATCCCACATCAATAAGCGTAACGGTATGTGGGCGCCAGATCGCCCATCGCGGCCTCGTCCTCCTCGGGGACCAGCTGCGGATCGATGCGGCCCTCTGTGATCGCGCGGTCGCGTTTGCGGTTCTCGTGCCAGATCGCCGCGGCGTAGGCGATGGACATGGCGGCTGAGAAGGAGAGGAAGGAGACCCCGATGATGTAGCCGGGGCGGTAGAAGGGGGCGTCTTTGGCGAGGAAGGAATAGGTGGAGATGATGCCGCCGACTAGGATGCAGAGGTTAGCGGTTTGGTCGATAGAAGGGAATGGGGACCTACTGTTGCCGAATCCAATTTGCCAGGCTGTGCCCACACTGCGGCGTCGGTGGCCACCTAGGTTCATCGCAAACCAACAGACCAGTACTGGCATCGCGCTGTAGCAGCCGCACGTCACCAGGAAGAGCGCACCGTACTGGACGTGGTATTGGGCCCTGTCGTGGATGTTGAGCAGGACGCCGAATCCCGCCATGGCGACTAGCATAGGGATAATGGTGAAGAGGAAACGGTGCTGGAAGCGATCCGAAAGGTAGGCGATGAGCATGGAGAAGCCGAATGCAGCGGCCCACGGCGGGATGGAATACAGCTGGGTTTTGATGGCTGATGAGGTTAGTGATGTCCGAGGTATTAGGATAGAGGAACATACATCCGTAGCCGTAGGTCTGGATAATGGTCGGCGCAAAGTACGCGTAGCCTAGCTGGTCAGTCGTGCTCAGTGGAAGAGTCACAGGAACATACCATAAGCTGTCACCACCTGGCCAAAGTACATCAAGCCGCCGATAAAGATTTTGTCTGCCCAATTAACATGGCATCCACAATCGGGATAGGGATAGAACACTTACAGTCCTTGAAAACAGCAAGGACATCACGCCAGTTCATACTAGCATCGACGGCAGCCTTGCCAGTATCCTTGGCCAGCTTGTCTTTCAGGAACTCTCGCTCCTCCTCCGTGAGCCACTTCGCATCCTCCGGGAAGTCGGGAACCACGAAGAAGCAGCCAATGGCGACCACACAGGTGATGATACCCTCGATGATAAATACCCATCGCCATCCACTGTATCCCCGGATGCCATCCATCTTTCCCAGTCCATATGCAAGCAAACCACCAAAGGCACCAGCGAGGGTGGTCGAGCCGAAGAAGAAACTGAAGCGCTTCTGAGCTTCGCTGCGCTTGTACCACATGCCCAGCAAGTAGAAGCCTGTCGAGTCAGTATCAAGTCATTACCCCAGGAGAATCACATACAGCCAGGAAACAAGCCCGTCTCAAACATTCCTAGAAACCATCGCGTCGCCATCAACCCACCCCAGTTTTGGACAAACCCCTGGCAGACCATGACCAGGCCGAAACCGAACATGCACAGCGATACTAGACCCGTCAGCGAGCCCTAACCAACGCAGCGAAATACATACACCACGCATGCGGTTTCAGCTTCTTCATCAATACATTGGACGGAATTTCGAAAATAATGTAGGGAACGAAGAAGATGGTAAGGGCGGTATTGTACTTGGTGCCGGTTTCGAGATGCAGGTCGGATTTGAGCCCAAGAATGGCCGCGTTACTGACATTCACTCTGCAAGTCTGTCAGTCTGTAGCCACTGTGGGTTTGCGAACTGGGAGTCCCACCGATCCAGGAATGCAAGGAGGTACATGACACAAAGACACGGCACAACATGCCAGTCGATCTTGGCCATCAACTTGCGCTCGTTGACCGCGTATTGCGAGGGCGGCGGCGATGCCTCGTCAGCCACCGGCTGCTTTTCTGCACTGGATCAGTAACTTGCCAGTCGAGCGCGGCGAAGAGCGCGAAGTGAGACTCCGCGACAGTGTACTGACCGTCGACGCTCATTTTGGAGGACGCGATCGCAGGAAACTTCGCAAGGCACAATCAAAAAGAGAAAGAAAGAAGAAAAAGATCATGGCGGCGATCGCAGGCTCGCCACCAGTATTTAAACGAGAAAATGGCGGGGAGCTAGATCGGCCTAGCTGAGCCAGGAACGAAGATGACTCCTTTGCTTGCCAAAAAATGCGCCAACAGGCTGAGTGGTGGAGCCCAACCGGTGGGCGAACCAACCATCCACTGCCGATCCGGAGCTGGCCACTGCGCTATCGCAGACTACAGGGTTTGTCCGTGACGATTCCAGTCATCACAGCAGATGGGGGATTTTCTTTTTTAGCTGCGTGGAGCTGGTGCTTTCTGGTGTCTCGAGGTGATTCCGCGTTCGCACCTCGGCTATTGCCCCCAGTGGCTGGCTTGGCGCCGATGCCGGGATGACTCTTCCTTAGTACTTGATACTTAGGGCTATTGCATTCACCGAAGATGTCAGCCGTGCAGCACAAAAGAGTGAACGGGATGGCAAACATTATCTGTTATTCCTCTCAGTTGCTTACGGTGTACTCCGTAGATTGCGACCCGGTGGAATTTGTCAAGCATCCTCGGCAGCAGTGAACAGGCCCCATGTACATCATTGCCCATTTCGGACTGATGACCCATCTAGCTGCAGCTTAAGCTTCATGGTTTCTTCCCCCCCGCCCCTTCTCCCGTGCAGCTTTCCCTTGAGTGGGAGTGGAAACGTCCAATAGCAACTCCGATAAGGTTGTACTGATCCTATCCACGATGGGTCATGATGAAGCTCCAGCAAGAGCATCGTGGTCAAGGCAGGATCGGTCGCGGGGAGATCAGCGATGATTCAAAAAGTCTGTATTATGGGGAAGCGGGTCCCATCGTCAACGACTCTCGCTGCGATGCGCCCCTGCCAATGAGGGGGAATTCATATCGCCATCCTGACTCAAAGTCGATCGACTTACGGAATTGCTCTACCGGGCCATACCCTAACCGATGCAACAAAGCCCTAGGCTAGCACTTGAACGAGTTGAAAATCAATCATCGCTGTATTACGAGTCTAATCAGATAAATGCAATAAGTACACCCGAACAACACATCTGTGACAGTCATAATCCGCACTCAGCAAGGCACCCCCTGCTCTAGGTTGTGACACCGTGCTAGCTCTTCACTTTCCCCGTTTAGTAGCTGCCGTACGACCCGTACTTGCCGTAGTTGCCATAGTTCCCGTAGTTCCCGTATCCGGCCGGGGCGGTGGTAGTCGAGCTGGGCGCAGAGGTCGTCGAGGACTCAGTCTCCTGCTCGGGTTCGGCATCTCTCTTGTACGATCCGTAGCTGGCATAGTTGCCATAGTTGCCGTAGTCACCGTAGTTACCGTAGTTGGCAGCGGTCGGGGTCGCCGTCTCAGTCGAGGTGGCCTCGGAAGTAGTGCTGCTCACCTCGGGCTCGTCGCGCTTGTAGGCCTGGTAGTTACCGTAGCTACCGTAGTTGCCATAATCGCCATAGCTGGCAGGAGCAGTCGTGGTGGTAGCAGGAGCAGTGCTGGTAGTCGACTCCTCAGGCTCGCCGTCCCGCTTGTAGGCCTCGTAGCTGCCGTAGTTGCCGTAGTTGCCGTAGTCACCATAGTCTCCGTAGCTGGCGGGCGCAGTGGTGGTCGGAGCAGCAGTAGACTCCGTGCTAGAGCTCTCGGGTTCTTCGCCGCGCTTGTAAGCCTGGTAACTACCGTAGGTCCCGTAGTCTCCGTAGTTGCCATAGTTCCCGTAACCCGCAGCAGTGGTAGTCGGGGCAGCAGACTCCGTGCTGGAACTCTCGGGCTCTTCGCCACGCTTGTACGCTTGGTAGCTGCCATAGCTGCCGTAGTCCCCATAGTTGCCATAGTTGCCATAGTCCGCAGCTGTGGTAGTAGGAGCAGCAGACTCTGTGCTAGAGCTCTCGGGCTCTCCGTCACGCTTATAGGCCTCGTAGTTACCATAGTTGCCATAGTTGCCATAATCCCCGTAGTTTCCGTAGTTGGCCGGGGCGGTGGTGGTGGTGGCAGCCGGGGCAGTCGTGGAGACAGTGCTGGTCTCCTCGGTGTCTGGCTCACCGTCCCTCTTGTAGGCCTGGTAGCTGCCATAGCTACCATAGTTACCATAGTCCCCATAGTTGCCATAGCTGACGGGGGTTTCGGTAGTCGTGGCAGACTCCGTCTCGGTGGCCACCGGGCGGGCAGTGACCGCGAGCAGGTTGCTGCTCAGCACGAGCAGAAGGCCCTTGGAAATCGAATGCATGGTGAAGAACTGAATGGAGAGAGGTCTAATTAGACTTTATCAATGACTCTTCGATGTTCTCGAAGTGCGTGAGGATCATACCGAGTTGGAGGGTTGATGCGGCTGTATTTATAACTTTCTCCTCGCTCTTTCCCTCCAACCTCCATAATTAGCAGTCCGCGAGCATCGTGCATCATGCTCTCCATCGTGGGGAAGTATCCCGCCATGGCGTGCCCGCATGATTGGCCAAGTCTTGGATTGTGCCATCTTGTCAATATTATCTTGAGTGGCCGAGGACCGGCCAGCCCAATCACGGCGACACCCGAGAGTCCCAGTGCCCCTCTGGTTGCCAGTGTTACATTCATCTGCCTCACGGACAGGCGTCCTCCATTCCGAGATGATGCACCCACTTCCCTGTCCGGGATAGAGTGGCTTGGAGGTTGACCTAGACCGCGGCGTGCGGGCACCCGACCCATCGTGATCCGCCACCACCAGCCAAGCTGGGGATGTTTAATTATAGCGTGCAGCGGATGAATGACGGTGAAGCCAGGTTTACTCTCGGGGAGTAAGGCATCTTTGCGTCATGTCTCAGTTGGATCCTCGGGTAGACCGGGGAGGTTGTTCCAGTAAGGCGGGCAGTGGGCTCGTATTGAGGATCTCCCGCATCATTGGGCGCCTGAATGAGACACACCTGCGGCTAAGCGGCGGATGTCTTACTGCGAGCAAATGATCTTGCGGCCAGGATGAGCCTCTCCGCATCTGCACGAGCCCTGTCTCACCAGTATTGCGGGTTTGGGTTCCACCCGTCACTTGGCCTCCCTCTCCAACTGCGGGTTTAGCTTTGGGGGTTAGTTATTATTAGCATCGGACCGCGCGGAGGCGATGGCACCATCTGACCGGCTCAGAGGCAACCACAATAAAACACCAGGGCACAGCCTCTGTAGCTTTTTGAGTCAAAGAGAAAATTGAGCAATTTCTCTGTTTTCTTAAGTGTTAACGTCCCGTTGTCATGAATCCTTCACGCAACTCCGCTTCTTTTGACGACAAAATGCATTCCTCGGAGCGGTCGGACTCGACCGATCGCGAGAGACTTCTCGTGGATGAGGAGGATGCTCACTGGGCGCAGGGCAAGACTAACTCGAGAGCCGGCCCTGGACGATGGCTGAATATCATCTTTGTCTTCATCCTTGCCGTCTTGTCGTGCCTGGTGGGTGTCTTCATCGGACAGAACCGAGGTGACTCAGACGAGGCGTGCACGCGGCGTGTGACCCAGCATTGTACGTCCTGCCCTCGAGTGTATTCTGGAGAGAGATCAGCCTTGTAGGCAGCAAGTTGAGCTAATGCGATCGCAGCACCGGTCATCTCAAACGTCGGGCTGAATTATCACAGCGAACGATTCAACGGGTCGCTCCTCAAAGAAAACATCTTCCGCCAGGATGCCAGCCCGGAGGTCGATGCCGCCTGGGCATCCATCGGTGCTAACTGTGCGTCACCTTTATAGCTGTGAATTGCAACCTAGCTGATGTATTGTCCAGACCGAGCCATCCGAGTCCCTGCCGAGGAAGCCGAGAAATCCGGGCTCGCCGCCGACCAAGTCAAGATTAGCGAGAAATACGGGGGTGGCTATCCGGCCAACGTGGAGGGGCTGCATCATCTGCACTGCCTGGTATGTGAGATCGGTTGAGATGATTCGCCATTCGCAACTAACATATCCAGAACCTGCTCCGCCAGTCGCTCTACTACAACTACGACTACTACCACGATCTTGGCACGGGCGCATTCTCGAACAACGAATTTATCGTGCGACGTCACGTCAGTAAGTTTTTCCTTCCTCTCCTTTTATGACGCGGACACTAAGCATCGCAGCACACTGTCTCGATATCCTGCGCCAGCAGCTTATGTGCAGCGTTGATGTCGGAGTCTTGGGTCAGGTCTGGGTTCACCCCGACCACCCCGAGCCCTTTGTCGACTTCAACACGGAGCACAAGTGTCGTAACTTTGACCAGATCCGTGAATGGGCGCAGCAAAACCAGCTGCCCGAGACCGTTCCCTCGGATTTCCTAGAACCCCCGAAGATTGGGGACCGCGTGTATGAGGCTATTCCGTAAGAGTAGTTTACTTGTGTATAAAATGTAAATATAATGCGCCTATGTTAATGCATATTCTCTCAAATCTTGTATCCGTATCATGCCAGGAAATGCCGTCTGGGCGTCTGACTCGCGTGAAGCCGGTTGAAAAGTTAGAACTCACAAGCCTGCGGACCTTCCTCATGCGGAATGGAACGACCATGGAACCCTCAAAAGTCAATCAAGCTTCAAATCCCGAGTGCGAGCGTTGTCGTAAGCTTGCGCGATTTGTGACTCGCATTAGTCAAGGTGGACAGGGATGCGTGTTTGGCAAGCTTCTCGTATTCCACAATGGATTATTCGCCAGAATACCATTCACCTCCTTCCGCACTATTTATCTGACCTAAGATCGATTCTTCAGCCACCAGGCCACCGGACAATCCGGAGGGCTCGGATGCCAGCGGGCAAGTCTGGTTCTAGTGGTCGGTTAGGGCTGATGGATGCTACCTTGATCCGCTGCGCTTCCATGGGTGGGAGCTGGCACTCAGTTCAGGGAAAGATGCAGAGGGGTCAAGAAGCTGCAAGTAAAATATAATGTAACATGATAGTGATAATGCATTCGAGCATCTCTGTTATGCCTAGCTACATCGGATCTACAGTGTAGTCTTCTAGAAGCAGGCTGACATGCAGTTGTGCCCAAGCATCTCACATGAAATCGGCTCTGCCCCGCACCGATAAGCTATCCGCGACCGACCCATGCCTCGAATCCTCTGGCAACACCTTGGCTCAACGTAGCTCAAACACCCGTCTCTCTTCACTGTTTCACTCGGTCGACAGTATGAGTCTGGCTCCTCCGGTGATTGATTTCGCCGGTAAGGATCCACCCCATCCCGCGAGAGTGAGACATAGACTCACCATCGCAGCATTCCACGCAGGCAGCCACGAAGCCCGCCAGCGTCTCGTCGAGGAAATCCGCACCGCGTGCGAAGAACTGGGCTTCTTCCAACTCCGCAACCACGGGATCCCCACCACCCTCCAAACCGAAATTCTGGAGCAGTCCAGAGACTTCTTCCGTCTCCCGGTGGAGATCAAGGAGAGATACGATCGGGGTGAGTAACGCCGCGCAACCACTCCCCAACCGTGGCACGATTAAGCTCTCAGGCAGACAATGACAGCTTCAACCGCGGATACGAGCGTCTCCGGGCCCAAAACTTCGAGAAGCGCGCCTCCGGCGACCTCAAGGAAGGCTTCTTTTTCGGACGCCATCTTCCGTTGGACGATCCAGACGTCCTGGCAGGCAAATTCGGCCAGGGACCCAACAAGTACCCGGCGGAAGTGACAGATCCGCTGCACTTCCGAGACACGGTGGATCGCTACTACGAGGCCGTCCTGGAGCTGGCTGTCAATCTCATGACTGTCATTGCGGAATTGGTGGGCCTGGACCCGAATGCCCTGCAAAGGTTCTGTCAGCGACCCATTGCGACCCTGCGGTTGCTGCACTATCCCCCTCAACCGTCTGATGCGTCGGAGTTGGAGAGAGGTGTGTGTGTATCTATCCCCCCTCATCCGCATTCGTCGACCTGAAACTGAGTTTGTGGGAAAAAGGCATCGGCGCACATAGCGATTTTGGGGCCATCACGATTCTGTTACAGGATTCGACCGGGGGACTCCAGGTCTGGAACCGTGCCTCGAATGTCTGGGTGGATGTGGTGCCGGTTCCCGGAGCGGTGGTGGTCAATACCGGCAATCTGATGATGCGCTGGACCAACGATCACTACATCTCCAACCTTCATCGGGTCATTAACCAGTCTGGCCAGGATCGCTACAGCATCCCGTTCTTTTTCGATGGGAATCCGGATTTCCTGGTCGAGTGCCTGGTGAGCTGTCGTGAGCCGGGCCAGGGAGCCAAGTACGGGCCAATCACGGTGCATGACTGGATGGTTGGTCGATATGCAGATACGTTTGGGGGGAAGGCAGAGGCTGCGGAGGACCCGGTGGGTTTGCAGTAGCTGGGATACTTCTGGCTCCCATCTATGCCTGGTCTGTCATGGATGGGATTTATTGACGGGGTGCCATGTGTGTCAGTTGACAAGCAGAATTTTACTGTCTGCATCCAATGACAGATTGTGATTGCCATCTTCAGGACCCTTGAACGTTCCATGGATCAGATTCTTCCATTGGGAGAGAGTCTCTACATCTCATCGCCATGGCTTCGGCAACGGCCGCTGCCTCTTCCGGCGTAATTGACCCAGGCCCTTCCCGGTGACCCGGCAGAGAATTCCATGGTCTGGGTAGGATATACTCGATTGCAGCAGCCAGTGGTTTGTTCAAAACAAAAGCATCGAACCTACCGTGGGGATTAGCCTAAGCACAACAAATCATAGATCAACTAACTTACCAGTGTCCTCCATAAGACTAATCGCGACAAGGTATATTTCCTCCGTCAGTCGGACTGGCCAACATGACCGGAAACACTGATGCAATTGCCGACAATACCACGGTCGCTCGGAGGCACGAATCTCACAGCTTACTCCCGATCTTGTGCTTCACTGTCACAAAGAACTCTCGCCCTAGCAATCGTTCGTGGCGTTGGTCAGGGCATCCCGAAGGATTCAGTGCGGGGCCTGGTTGCGGCTGCGGCATCGGCCCCGTTTTGCCCTGAACAATCACCCGTAACCGGCGAGCACCAAGGTGAGCCCTGAAACCTGTTCATTTCCCTGCTCAACAATGCAACGGCACGAGAATTTACTGCCCGTTGATTTGTCATCGACTGGCGGCAGTCGTGTTTTTCCAGCAAAAGGCATTGTGCTCGGGAGGAAGGGTTGCGGTAACCAAGAAGGACAAGAAGGATCATAACAAAACATTGAACAGCCTAGCATCGCTCGTGTCGTCAGGCCATTGTTTTGTGTAACCCAGGAGACAAATGGTCCGCCCAGCTGGTCGAAGGTCGAGGATGTCACCAAGTAGTCCAGTACCTGCCGAGGCCATCCGTGGATGCGGCGCGACTTAAAGTTGGCTGGCGGGATCTGATTGCAAGCCGGAGGATCGATCGACTCGAAACGTCATGCTGGAGGGCCGACTCCACCGAACCCGCAAGTCGAATCCGGTTCCAAGTTGCCTTCAGCCATCGGCGCTTTTAAGAGGCGCGATCCTCTCCCGGACCAATTGCTGGCTACGTCAGCACATCGCCTCCAATGAATCCCAGCCGGTTCCGCGCCTGGACCGTGTTTCCACGGACCCCTCCTCCCCAGCCGGATATAATATCCCTACGACCTGACTCCTCGCCGTCCGCAATTCCCCCATCGTGTGTGGCCCCAGCCTGCTGATCAAGAGCAAACCTGATCAACCTTATCGACCCCAGCGCTCAGTCCGCCTGCTGACGGTGCTTAACCGGTCGGCCTGCTTTCCCCCAATCACGATCCCGCCCCTGTTTTCTCTGCCTGCCAACCGTCTGGTCCGTTGGTCGTATAAATACCAGGCGGAATCAACCCAATTGCCCTTACTGTCCATTTTACCTGTCTTCTGCACCGGCTCACCATCCTCTCAATTGATACCCCACCCATGGCCGACGTAAAGATGTCCACCGACCTGAACCTGTGTTCCCTTTCGGGCCCACCCGCCCCCATCGCCCCCGACGAGAACTGGCCCGACTCCCTCCCTTTCTTTATGGACAATGCCATTCCCCCAGAATACCTCTCTCTCTCAATGCTCCAAGACAATAACAATTGCAACAACACCACCACGACCAATCCATGGCTCTTCGACGCCTTCTCCCCTCCGGTGTCTTGGCCCGCCTACCCCGCTTCCCGAACCGACTCCACCGCCAGCTCGGAAGCCAGCTTCATCGCCCCCTGCCAAACCATCCACCGAGCCAGCGATGACGAGCGCAAGTACTCCACCGCTCCCACCTTCACCTTTGCTCCGAGCCAGATCCCCACCCCCCTGCACGAAATCACCTCCCGCGGCAGTATCAGCAGCAGCACGCAATCCCGCTTCAGCGTCTCCAGTTACAGCAGCGCCGACAGCCCCACCCACAGCCGGCGCGGCAGCTCCCCGCGGCACGCGTCGCCCGGCTTCGAAGACCACGAGCGCGAACGGCGCAAACGCGAGCGCTTCCTCGAGCGCAACCGGGTAGCGGCCAACAAGTGTCGCAAGAAGAAGAAGGAACATGCCAAGAACCTGGAGACGCGATGCGAGCAGGTCTCGCGGCAGAATACTTTGCTGGAAAGCGAGGTGGATCATCTACGGGGGGAGATCTTGAACTTGAAGAATGAGCTGCTGCGACATTCGCAGTGCGGCGATGATGGGATTAAGCGCCATTTGGCACAGATGGTCAAGCAGATCTCGCATCGGACGACGACGGCCCCGGGGACGAAGGCAGAGCCGGAGCGGACGGGGAGCCCGAAGAAGGAGCCAGCGGCGTCGTTTGCGTTTGAGGATCTGGTGCAATTGGACAGTTCTATGGGAGATGCTGCTGTGGCTCAGGAGCGAAAGGATCCGGACTGAACTTTCTCTACCAGTGCGTTTTGTGTTGACGTGCTCCATTGATGCTCAGTACACGGTGGGCTTGATGATCGATAATGTGTTATGTGGAGTTGGTGGCATTTCTCTTCTTTCGTCTTTTCGGGTTTATCCTCCTTTAATTTTTATTGGACAATGTATATCTATGACGCAGCCGGAAGCTACAGCTTGTGGCATGCGAGGGATGGCGATGATGCCGGTGGCTACGATTCAGCATATGCGGGGTGTTCCTGGTGTCAGTCTTGTGAATATGGGTTAGGTGGCGATAGAAGGTACAGAGGCAAAAGCAAACTTAATATCGTATGATCTTACTGGACCTATCTCTCGTCTACGGTGTACAAAACGAAGCGACGATTGACCAATAACACAATTATATTACTGTCAAACTTGATGCAAATTGCCATACCCACCTCTCATCAAACATACACATCAATTTCATATATCATTACTCATTTTGATTCACTCCTCCGGCACCTCCCCACCGCTCAATCCCCCCTTCCGACCAGCCTCGCGCGCCCGGGGATCCCCAGGTTCAAAGCTACCCCCCGAGGACATGCCGCCCTTGTGGCCTGCTTCCCGGGCCCGTTCCTCGCCGGGCTGGAAGCTGCCACTGGAGGCCTGACCGCCCATGGAGGCGATGTTGCGCTGCATCATTAGTATGCCTATTTCCCGCGGATAGCCGTGGATAGTACGGAGTAGATGTACCTGCTTGTCTTCGTCCATGCTGGCGAATCCGCCCGCGTGGCTGGATTGGCCGCCTTTGCGGGCGATGTCTTCAACTTCGTCGGCGGGGCGGTTGGCGAAGTTGCCGGGGTTGGGGTTGGAGGTCATGTTGATGCGTCGGGTGCGGTATGTTGTTGTGGTGGTGATAGTAGAGTGGATTGAATTGTGTCTTGTGAGGGTAGGTTTGGTGTATTATGGCATGTATTTATACTGATATCTTAGGTTGAGTACTGACATGATTATTGCGATCGATTGATGTCAGTTCCTTGGCAGTAGCCTGTTTCAGGACCTGTGCGGTGGATGGTTCCACAGTATCATCTTGAAGTCATTTGTTTTCATCGATGGGCATGTGTTTCTAGAATAGAAGATTACTATGTGAACGTCTGGAAGAAGTCTGGAAGGTGGATGTGGTCATGCTGATGGTATAGCTCGTTGGTGGATCTTGTACCTGCAGCAGGACATAAGGTACATAAGGTACATACATGATAGTAACAGGTCTCTCCATGGCCTCTCAGCTGTAAATCAACAATCTGGCAGTTCCAATTCTGTACAATCGCCATTCTACAGCAACCAAGCATACAAGCATCCTCAGTGCAACATATACACTGTATGTATCCAATGCCACACTTCCTAGAAAATGGACCCTGATCGGCATCACCCCCAATTGATCAATCAGGTCGCCCGTGGCTAACCGCGAATTGGAGTCATAAATTCCCCGACTTGGGGTTGACCATCATGACATCAGCCCCGAGCATCACCATGACTTCACTCGGTCCGTGCCCTTCCAAGCAACCGCCGATCCTGGTTGCACCAATGCCTTTGACTGGGTCGGAAGCCGGATCGAACGTTCCATGATGCATGGGACCCCATAGCTTTTGATTGGCAGGGGCTTTTTGCCGTCATGCAGATTATCGATGGGCTGACAGTTGCCACCTCGAAAGCTTCTAATGTTAGCTGACCATCAATCCATGATGCGATACTGCTCACGTGCCTTGCAATGACACCAGGTTTATCGGTCGCACATTTGATTTATTGACTTTTTGATGTGAATGCTGATTAATCTATGGCAAACTGCGTTTTTTTCCTGATGCTACTGGGTTAATCATTTAGCGTATTCGAGCAAAGTACTCTTCTAGTGCTTCTACCTCCTCCAGGCTACCCATCCACGCCACATGCTGATCTGGACGACAGAGTACCAATGCCCCAAATTTTTGTTGGATACCATATCTGTCATATGTGTGGCCCAAATCATCACCGTCCGATCCATCATCAGCAAAGACCCTCGAGTAATCCCAGCCCCATGTTTCATCGAACGGGTGAAACATATCCGGAAGATCCAAGAGATTGATCGATGCTCTCGGGCTGGCATGCACCAAAATGCTCTCGAGACAACGACACCTGCCGAATCTCTGATCCGTGTGCAACGATGACAGATGAGGCTGCTTGTTGAATCTGGCCGCAAAGTCACAGAGACGGCCCCAGTTCCGCGATCCACGCAAGTCACCAGGAAACACCAACAGCCTCCAAGCTCCATTGCTGGTGAATCTCCCCGCCAGCTGCATACACACCCCGTCGGCCTGGGCTACAACAGGATAGGATGCCAGACGCACTCCCACTCTGATATTCCGGGCTACAGATCCCTCGCCACTTTTGCCAGAAATCAGATCATTCGGGCCATAGGCGATGCCTACGCCCGTCATGAAATCGACGTACTGGTTCCGGACCCGCTCGACTCCTTCGGTGGTGGTCGTGTCTTGCTCGTATGCTTCGACCAGCTCGGTGTCCAGCCTCAGCAGCTTCTCGCCAACGGGCCGTCGTTCTAAGTTATAGGTGTCCAAGATCCTCGGCGCAGCTGTCCCGGTGATGACGGATCCTAGCTTCCATACCAGGTTGTATGTATCTTGCATCGATACGTTCATCCCTTGTCCCGCCTTGGGGGAGTGGGTGTGTGCTGCATCGCCAGCAAGGAAAACTCTGCGTGAATCAGCATGGGCATGATGCCAGTAGGGTACACCTACCTATCATGGGGTCTATATGTTTCAACCAAACGCTGGCCTATCTGCAACATGTCAGTCACCAGATTGCATAGTATGGACAAGCTCACCTTGTAAATCGACCACCAGTCGCAGTGCTTATACGTCAGTTTGTACGGCCGCATCGCCTTCTGTATGGCTTCGACCAAATCATCCCGAGAAACTTCCGACTGATCTCTTCCCTCGACATTCAGTTTTCCATCGCCTTTTGGATAGGTATAAAACCGGACCAGCCGGTTCTCCCTGGGCGCGGTCATGATACTCCCATAGTCTCCGGAATGTATGGCGCAGGATTGACGAATGTCCGCTTGGACAGCATTAGCCATCTATACATCCAATCATTCCGACGATACTCACGAAAATCACTAATGGGCGCAATATCAATCACCCCCCACGTGGAATCCCCCGAGCCGGCACGAACCGGCACCTTCAACTGCTCTCGCGTCCAGCTATGTGCACCGTCGCAACCGATAATATATCGTGCCCGAATGATCTCCAAATCATCACAGACACCATCGGCCCCTAACTGCACAATCAGCCATCTCCGACCGTAAAACCTCAACATCACATACCATCCGTCCAATCTTTCCTCACCCCAACCTCAACCGGATACTCCTCATTCTCCAAAAACACCAACCTCTCCGCCCGTTTCCCATACTCCACCTTCACCTCCCCCAAATGATCCAAAAACGCCTGCTCCACCAACCCCTGATTCAACAACACCATCCCAAACCTCTCCCCGTCTTTCAGCCTCGCCCGACTCCTCTTCTCCCTCTCAATGCCCGCGGATTCTTTATTCCTGCCCTGTCCCTTATTAGCTCCATACCCCGCACCCTTCTAAGCACCATCCCCGCAAGCCGAAGAAAAGAAAAAAGAAAGAAAAAAAAATACCCACCCAAAAACACATCTCCGCATGCGCCACCCCCCTCCGTAAAATCGCATCCACCATCCCAAAACTCTCCAAGATCTCCAAACTCCGACTTTGTAATCCGTCCGCGTGGCCCGTGGGTGTGCGGCCCGGTCGTTTGTCGATGATGCGCGTCGTCATGTCGTATTGTGTGGCCCAGGCGGCGGCCATGAGGCCTGCTGGGCCGGCGCCGATGATGAGGAGGTCGGTTGTGGTGGGATGGGGCATGTTTATTTTAATCTTACTCTGAGTAGAGAATGTTTGTGGGAGGGGGGGAGGAGGCTTAAGTTGGGGTATATGTAATGGTACATGTTCCTGGATTTGAAGATGATGTAGGGTTGCAATTGAGTTTGGCCGCCTACGGCATGGGGACGTCATGCTTTGTCACTGCCTGGTTTGTGGGGGTCTGTATTAAGTAGTACCTAGTCCTAGGAAAGTATATCCTTGTATTTTGAGTGGACAATCCGATTCAGTGTCTGGGGTTGGGGGTGGGTCTGTTTTTGAATCTCGGTACGAATGACATGGTGAATGTTTGGGGGGGGGCCGGAGGGGGTTCCCGTTGATAGATATGAGGTTTACTTGCATCCTTTAACCGCACTCTTTCCCTTTGTTATCTCCTCTTTTCTATTATAATAAACAGAAAGTAGGTTCGTGCTGTTAAAATCGATTATTATAACTCATCCTCAAAAGCAAGCTTTACCACAATCAGAGACCATCCAAGAACACATACTCGGGTCGCAGTGGTCGTCAATTCATCCAGGAGATCAACCGAAAACCTAGGCCAGAATACAATAGCCATATAAATATCAAGGGTATAACAACACACGCATCAAAGCAAACCAAGTCCACAGTAACATCTTCCATCACATCTCTAGTATAGGCCTCAGGCATCAAGCAAATCGAACAATCACCCCCACAACTGCCCCCACCGCACCCCCAATCAGCATTCCAATCAAACAATAGACCAGACTCCGTCGCCACGACCAATTGACCCAATGTAATTCGGTGGGTAGGACATAGCCTGGGTTGGTAGCTGGTTTGGATTCGAGGGCCGGGCCCGTAGAGTAGGTGTCTGGTTTGGGTTGAGAGGTCATGGTTCGTATGAAACTGTTCTGCGAAGGAATAAGTTAGCTCATGTCAATACCAGTACACAAAAAGAGTACAACATACTCAGATCCACAGTCTCACGCGACCGAAAACATGTCATCGAGACCTCGAGAGAGACGGCAGAACGGTCGTCAATTTATCACTCAACCCTCTACATAGACGCCCTATCCCCCCCACCTTGGCGATCATCAAAGGATCAGTCCGGTAGGGGCTGTGCTGTGCCCTGCAGCCTTGTGTACTTTCTTGGCTACTTGGCGTCGCGGTTAATCTGCGCCATGTGGATGCTTTGTCTCTTGGCCTGAGCTATCCTGGCCCTGTTGGTGGGTCAGGGTCTCACTCGGTGATTGTGGTGTGGTGGGATGGTGATATGCCGAGCCTCGGGCTTCGAACTAAGCGGGGGGTTTGGTACGTAGGGAGATTTCATTTGTGGATGGGATGGGATGGTTGTTTAGTGGGTATGGTAGTGGAGATGCCTTGTGCTCACGGACTTTACGTGCTACGTCATACCTTTCTGTTGCTACTATGCTTGGGAGATAAAGGTGTACATGGTGGAGAAACTAGGGCGGTTTATGCTATAGTCTCAACTGCTGAGTTTTCGCGAATCAACCCTTTACTATATATCTCTGCATCGACCACAGACCGGAGCGTAGTAAGGTGTGACTGCCCACAATGAAGTCCACTCCACGGTGTACTCTACAAGGTAGCTGGATGATGATTGATTATTGTCCGCTCAGAATAACTCAATCCTGATCGTCGAGATCATATACTATGTTCATGACGAGCCAGCTCTTTCCCTCAACGTTATCATCGTACTAGTCCGAGGCACAATCGCTGTAGTCCATACAAAGCTTCTTGGTGCACCAAGATCCGACAGCTTGATATCATACTCCATGATCAGATGGGCAAGGACCAGCTTCAGCGTCCTCGAGACATACCATCGTCCGGGGCTGTACACCTATCAGCGGGCCATCCATCAAAGAATAGCTTGACTCACCAAGCCCGTTTCGCCGATCCCCAGTACGGAAAATTCCAGCGGATATCCGTATACTTCGGAAACGCTCTCATGGACCCATCTCTCTCATCGACCGCCATAAAGCGGTACGGGTTAAATTCTGTCGGGTCGGCGTAGTACCGGGAATCCTGCATGACTGCCGCCTGGGGAATAGCCACGAGATTCCCAGCTGGGACGTATGTTCCGTCGGAAAAGGTATATGGGGTTAATGTCATTCGCTGGACGGTCACTGCCACCATTTAATATAGATCTTGTGAGGAGGTCGTGAGGGGGTAGATGTATCTGATGAGAGAGAAACTCACGTGCATCTAGCGCATTTAGCCTGGCAGACTCGCGCAAAAAGCCATCTAGAAGAGGTAGATGATCCAAGTAATCCTCCGAGTCTGTTATGCTGCGTCCATACTCGATCTCTTTGCGGAGTGATTCGATATATTCGGGATGGAGGCATAAGTCAAATATGGCGTACACGAGAGCCTTCATTGCGAGTCAATATTATGATGCCTCCGGAAGTGGATGATTGCTGACCATGGACATTTGGTGCGCGGAAGCAAACAAAATACCAAATATCTGTTGGGTAATTCTGAGTACTGTCTGTTGCGCAGAGGTCTGGGAAGACTCTATCACCCATTGGATGCAGTCACGCTTGATGACCGAGCGTGTTAGTCCCGAGGGGATGGAGGAGGATGGTTTTCTCTAGACGAACCCGTTTTGAAGCAATACCCAGTGGATTCTGGCCCTCGGTGATTCGCCTCTCGATCTCCGTACTGATAGCACGAGCAATACGATGCATCGCTCCACTCCAACCCATCATGAATGGTGCTATCAGGCTATGGTCGCATGAATATGGTGCGAAGAAAGGGGCAGGGCAGCACGTACGGAACCAAAACAGATGGCAGATGGCGACATAATTCCATGGTGACCACGGCATCTTTCAGGTATTGATGGACAGCACGTTCCAGCTCGCGGTCACTGCCTAACATCTCTTTATTTTCCATATCAATATGACAATGGCTGTATCAAACTTACCCAGTTCTGATCCAAGAAGAACATGATTGTTGAGCCGTGTAATGACATGCTTAGCCAGTGTGAATGCGCTTACTCGACTCCAGCCTGATATTTTCAGAATCAGCAGCAATACCACCGGTCAGACAAGAAAGGCCCACCAGCCGAGTCTCTGCCCGTCAGCTGCTGAGGGAGCGTTTCCCGAAGCACCAGCTGCAATTTCCCCTGAATTTGAGGCAACTTCATGCGAAGCAGTACCTTCAGCACCCGCTTGGGAACGTCATTGTTCGGATCTACATTATTATGTTCAAATCCAAACAGAGTGTACTTGTGCTTGATCCTCTATGTCAACTGTGAGCTTCCAATCATTCCCCGGGGCTCGTCCACGCACCTGTTCCATAGCGGCATGGAACGAAAGGATACTTTCCGGGCTCTGACTGAGTTCTCGGATTAACTTCTCAGAAGAGACGAGAACCTGGTACTCGCTCAAGGCAGGGATGGCGAAAGATCTGTCGCTCCTTATCTGGGATTGTGTCAGTATGTGTGGCAATGAAGGCGAGGGACTTTTTACCCTTCGATAGATGTCCGAGATCATTCCCGCCCCGTCAATCACGAATTCAAGGCTGGTGAACCATTTTCCGAGAAGTAGGACGGGCGTGCCTCCTATATACGTATTGAGCTTTTTAGAAAATTAGCTATCAGCATTCTTCGCATCAATTGGAGAGGAAATGAAGACTAAAAGTGCAACCCGGGTAGAAAATATGTAAGGAGAGATGATCCGCACCGGCCGTCTCCTATAAATCCCCAGCACCTTGACCACCCGCCAAACAACCCACAAGGTGATCAGGATATAACCCCAACCCCATGTATATGACAGCTGACACACGCCCTGAAGGGCATCTCGAATCAAATCCAGGAACATAAGTTTCTTTCTTCTTCGTTATCCTGTGCTTATAATGCGTAGCCTAAGATATTATCGACAGGCTCTAGTAGTACTACCCCGATCAATGGAAGCTTATTTATACCCCCATCACGAGGTCACTGTACCTATGTCTTCTCTAAACCATACACGCGAGTGAGCCGCACCGATGTTCTCCGCCTCCACGGCGCGCTGAAGGGGTTGGGCCTGGCAAAACTGATTGGTGCCTTGTGAGGGGTGTCTCCCCGGAATGCATGATGTTTGCTGGACACGCAACAGGCTACTCACAAGGCTGTGTTTATGTGCTCCCAATACGCGACTTACACCCAATACTGAAACTTGCCATCATCCAGTCTCCAATCATCGAGGCAAGAGAGGTAGGGTTTGCGGTTGGCTGCAGGCTTCGGTGTTGCTCCGGATAACGAGAGTCACAAGAACACCCCAGCGAAGCGGACTGGCTGTGACTACTATCTGGCATATTCTGTTTCGGGCGGCATACACATGAGACTGTGGACGGGAGGTCCTGCATTGGACCTAATTAGAAGGGGGGATGCTTGATTTGGCTTTGTTTACACCCAGACGTCTCTATGGACCATGGGTAGGTGGGTGGATTGACAGATATGTGTTACAGAGAGAGACAGCGTATAGTGAGGACCTTGCGGGGCGCTAATTCCCCACAGAAGCATACAGTGACTATTTCGTAGGCCTGGTCGTGAATGGGTCGTTGTCAGGACAGTCAGCGGTGTTGGGGGGAATTTGAAAATTACGGGGGCTGGATCGGCGCAACGGTATTGATCGTACCGCGACATGCGCCCATTTACCATCAACCACCTGTCAGCTGCGCTGATCGACGCTATTCAGCTGGCAGGGGTACTTCCTTGATTGATATCTAGATTAGCAGAGACTAGTGAGACTACACGGTTGCCTCTTTTCTTTTTCTGAACTGTGTCTTTTGCTTCCCACTTTTCATTCACAATGTCCGTCATTGCTGCCCCCATCCGCCTTTCATCCTGCTTTACTCGTCGGTCATCGTGTCAGCTGCAGCCTAAGCCAGAATGTCTCTCAACCCTCTGTCTTCGATTGGGCTTCAAACCGCCATCGTGGTGACCACCATCGGCTTTACCCCGGCTCGGTCGGCTTTCAGGCCCGGCGCGCTGCTCATCGTTGCGCTTTGCACTTGCCACTGTATCTCAACGGCACTGGAATACTTCGTTCGCACTCCCTGGGCCAGCCTCGCGGGCGGCTACTCTGTGATGCTCCTGGTTCATTTTGTCGATATCGGCCTGCTCACGCGATGGGAGTTCCCAACAGCCAACCACCAGGATACGATTCCGGTCCGACTACGTTTTGGCATCTGGGCATCAATCAATGCGCGATGCATTGGAACCCCAGACCAAGTGCGCAACATCTATCCTTCTTACAGCAAAGGTCGAGCCGCTTTTCTTCTTCGAGCTGCCAGAATTGTGCTCCTCAGCTACGTGGGCCTCGATGTACTTGGCTCCATGGGCGATCCCGAGGTGGGATCTCGTGTTCTCGTTGCATCTCGGGTACCGATATTCCGGCGCTTATCGGAAGTCACTGCGGAAGAGGTGGTCATTCGGCTCTTTTCCACTCTTTCGGCTGCTATTGGGCTTGTGTGCAGCCAGGGGGGGTTCTACAACCTGTTTGCATTTACCGGCGTGCTTTCCGGGTTCAGTGAGCCGCAAGACTGGCCTTCGTTCTACGGATCACTATCGGATGCTTATAGTCTGCGGAGGGTATGGAGGTACGTTCATCTCAAAGCTCCTTTGCGTCCGAGTCAAGATCGAGATAGTCATGAGATCTATGAACTGAAAATGGTTATAGTCGCGTCTGGCACCAATGCAATACTCACAAATTCCGCGCCATTGCCCGGTTTGTGGTTCAAGATGTCTTGGGATTTCTACCGCGAACACCGGCCTGCCAATATGCCCAGACGCTGATGGTATTTGCAGCATCGGCTGTCATGCACCTTCTCATTGATCTATCTGCTGGCATTTCTATCTCGAGGTCGGGAGCTGTGCAATTTTTCTGCACTCAAGCCGTGGGAATTCTCGTGGAGGACTTGGTCGTCGGTATTTACTCCGCGCTGCGGGGCCTTTCTCCCAGTCGATCGGCTTCGTGGGGAGAACGATTCATTGGATTCCTTTGGGTGAGCGCATTCTTTGTCTGGTCGCTGCCCGCATATATATATCCGATGTTGTATCGATCTAACATGGGACTTACTGATTCGGTGGTTCCAGTCAGCATCATCGGAGCTCTAAGATAAGTTGATGGGGCTTCTGTATCCGAATTCTTGTCGGTGAATCATATTGTGTCTATAGATTTTTGGCATTAGTTAGTCGGGAGAGATTTGGTGTAATATACTCTGTACTAACTTTGATGACTTGTGATCTATGCTAAAGTTTTGATGGACTCTCACGCCTTAAGCCCCGCACTAACACCGAAAACCCCACAAAGTTGGTCCAGTGGGTGACGACAGGTAAAAGGAGATGGATTGTGCCGGGCTAGGCCTCGTACAGGAGGGTTGACAGGCGCGGACGTGACATGCCTCCAACATATCCGATCTGGCGCTTCAAGGGCTTCTGTTAACCCGGGTCTAAATTGGGCGTCTGCGCCTCGATGCCGAGCTGCGCCGCCGGAGGGCTTTCAAGACCAAAGGCGATAGACTTCGGACCATCTACTTCGGGCCGATTGGACTGTACTAGCCGCGACGCGCCTCTCATCTGGGGCCTGTGATTGGTGGGCGTTGTTTGCTCTGCAAGGCCCGAGTAGTAAGTACTTAACTGGTCCGGTTCTTGGTGCTCGGTGGTGTTCCGCGATCCCCAGTAGGTGTCCCACAGATTGCCGCTGTTGTCCTCCCAGGAGCTGCCATCTCCATGACCGTACATATAAGACTCAATGGCTAGTATCAATGTCATGTCCCATGCATAGTTTCTATTCTTGCGACGGCCTGCCTGATTTAACCTGTTTCTTTATCGGATAAGCACCCACGGATGACATTCACTATGGAGGTAGGCGTACGCCAGATCCCTCCTTCTGTGATCCCAACATGCAGATTACATCGATGCCAAGCCCAACTAGGACAAACAAGCTTGCCCTCCCCCATAGCCCCTGAATGCTTGTGCGCGGTGTGCGGTGTGGTGCGTCGTTAGCGCTTGCACGCAAGCGGTAATTTACCATCGGGGAAGTTCGGTTTTCAAAATTACCCGACTTACAAAGCCCAAACACAGCAGCCGATCCATCAGCCTGCCTGCGTGCCTGCGAGCAGGGGTCCGATGTCTCAACATGTAGGACGGGTCACCGCTTGCTTTTGCTTGTGTGGCGAGAATAGCCTCCATGCACCCTCCCCTCGGCCGATGCAGGCGCACCAAATTAGAAGGGAGATGTGGGATCTGGCCATGTTGCCCACGGGGTATATTCGGATGGCTCTTCCATTTCTTTTCATTCGGCGCGTTTTAGAGATATGTTAATAGTTCTTATCCATTACTAAGGTCTTCACGCCATGGCGAACACCTATATTGACGAGGTCACATTCATGGTGAGCTTCCGTACCATGCCATATCTCCTCAGAGCGGCTCAGGCACGTTGACCAGCTAACGATCTTTTCAGACAGTCCTCTGGGTCTGTCTTACCATATCCACCTTCTTTGTCCTCATCCAGATCTCCCTCGAATCTTGCCTGAACCGCCAATTGAGCAGCGCGGATGTCTTAGTGCTAGCAGCGTGGCTATTGTATCTGGGTAATGGAATAGTCTGGTCCGCCACCTACGAGCAAATGTTTGAAGTGATTGCTCTAGGTACAAGCACTACCAATCCGTCGAGTATCCCCCAAAACATTGCGTGGATCGAAAAACGGTACCTTCGGGGGCAGCTCGCAGGTTATCTAATCTCCTACTCCAGCTTGTGGCTGATCAAACTGTCCTTTGTCTTTTTCTTCCGTAAGCTGGGAAACCGGTATCGCGCGCAGCGGATCCTCTGGTGGGCGGTTCTGGCATTTGTCATCGCCTGCTATGGAGGGACCTTGGGCGTCCTCGACTATGCGTGTGAGATGAGCTCGCTGGAGGATAGTGTTGGTCTGTTTCCATATATACTTGCCCTCGTTACTGGCGTAGGATAGTGCTAACCCTGGGGCTTACAGAGCTCTGCCAGAGTCCTTATTCAGTCTGGTATGAACGAGTGAGTCTGAAGGTCGCGACGACCATGGACATCATATCGGACGCAGCTAGTACGTGTACTCTGCTTTTGGGAGGATATGGAATTTCTTGCCAGCTGGGATTGACTGACCGAGTCGCTTCATGCCAGTCATCATTCTCTCCGGAAATATCATGTGGAGGGTTCGGATATGTCTAACTAAGAAGTTGGCATTGATCGGGATCAGCCTTGACTGCGTTCATTATTATCATCGCCCTAGTGCGATTATTGCTCAGCGTATCAGGAGCCGGCATCTTGAACCCCGCATGGCTCATCATGTGGAACGCTGTTGAGATCTGTGTCGGTGAGTAATATGCCCATGCACCAGTTTACGGTACAATGCTCTAACTGTGTGTATAGCCATCATGGTTGCCTGTCTGGCATCTTTCTGGACTTTCTATACCAAGTTGAAAAGATCGCCAAGTGATGTTTGTGGATGCGGTCTCTTCTGCCCGAACAGACACTACGCCTCCCTCGAAAGGCCGATCTTACTATCTGGTCGTACAAGCGAAAGAGATAAAGGCCATCAATCTGCTGTGTCTGTTGGTAGTCATACCTTGACACAGGATACCATGCCTGATCCCTTCGTACTTAGGGTCCAAAGCTAGGACCACAGATTACCTATGTATGGTATGTTCGAGACACGAATACAGTATGGGTAAATATCGCGAATAGGTTTCGGACGACTGATAGGAACAATGATTGCATTGAAGGTGCCCATAAAGAATCCGAAACCCAGAATCTAGTGGGTCATTTGGCATGACATCGGTCCTGGTTGGTGTCGTTCACTTCGTGTAAAGACGGACCCTTATTGAGGTGGGATTATCCAATCAACCCTTGCCTCACGATTGAACATCTTCCGCTTTCCTGATTAAATCGTAAAATCTTCCATTCTCATATACAGTTGCAACAAAAACAATAGCCCCAACAACAGTCGCCTTGTTGACGTGAACAAGCAAGATAAATAGATTCCGGTGAAACACCACAAATAAAACCCGTATCTGTCGACAGAACAATATCCGTAATTCCGTGATACCTCGCTAAATATTGGGTGTCATGTAAGTACTTCGATCGTGCAGTGTTAATTTCAAAGGCTATCTTCAATCTACAGCCCCCAGACTCAAAGACGGATGATTTTCAGACTAGCTTGTATTGTGTCAACTTAGCAGACATCCTTTGCCTTTTTGTAGCCGCTGCTGCTACCCCAGACAAACGCATAGCCGGCTGTGGATTGCCGATTTTAGTGTTCGTGCAACCATAGTTTAGGCGCCCAGAGATAGGCCCGTTCGGATTAGAATCTTCAAGTGAGTTTTGAAGATCAATTAAGCCCCTTTAACATCTCTTTTGGTGGGACAAATAGCCGCCGAGTTTGCGATCTCCATCTTCCAACCGGCTTCAATCTGAAGGAGGATGGTATGGTTGCACAAGTTTAAGCTTATTTGTATAGTTGAACTTTGCTAGATATTGCTACAGGAACACGAGGCGTGTTCCAGTTGGTAGAAGAAATATTCACACAGGCGCAGCTCTATAAGTCAATGATTTAAAACGGATCCGTGGTTAAACAAGCTCAGTGTATTACTTTTAGAGCCTCGTTATGCTTCCAATTCATGATTATCTATTGGACAATCATGGTAGATAATGATTAATCCAATCCGATGGCACAGCCGTAAAATCACCCATCATAACCGATCCCCAGACACTCCATCACTCAATAGGACGCACTCCGCCAAACCTGCTCACCATCAGCTACAACAAACACTTCAACCCCAACATTAGCCACCAAACATACCCGCAGCATCACAACTGAACGCAACCCGAGTCCTCCGGCCAGGTACAAGTCTGAACCTCCACACTAAAGTACAGCCCCTCGTCACAGGTATAGATAGTCGAGACACCATCGCTCAGGTCGCAGACGATAAACTTGGTGCAATCACCGGGATATGGGAGATGGTTGACTTCGGGGGTTGCTCCCAAGCAGACCGTGGCGCCGATTGCGCCGCCGGGGGTTCCGGATCCGTTGGCGCCGTCGCCGTCGTCTTGGGCGTTGATGGGGAGGGGGGAGAGGGTTAAGAGGAGAGTGAGGAGAGATAGAGATGGGTAGTGCATGGTGGGATGGTGTTGAGGTTGGGTACGGGTGTGGGTGGGAGTAAGAGCGAACAATGCGTGGAATGGGTTGTTGTGGCGAGTGTTCTAGCTACAGTGGAGATTCAGGTAGAGGCAGGTTTATATGGAAGATCAGCGTCATTGAGTAACTGCTCTCATGTGATATGGCTTTTCTCCGATCGGCATTTAAAGGGCCCGTGTCGCAAAACTATTGGTCAATGGCATGTAGGCTGACTGTTAGTAGTGGACTAGCCATGCAGAAAGTCCGGTTTTGATAAAAGGATGCAATGCATACTAACCGCGACTTGGTAATTGTAGACGCGCACCGTTGTGATTGGATATGATGTTCGATCAGGACCCACAGCCCTGGAAAGAAAAAAAAAAAGACACTCGCCCGATGCGAGGCTCGAACTCGCAACCTTGAGGTGTGCATTTTATAAACTGAGAAGGAATTAGTGGGAGATCGACTGATTGCTGGATGCAATGGTAACTTACAGCCACACGCTCTACCGATTGAGCTAACCGGGCAGTCGTTATGCGGCAAGGGCCAGGCAAATTCCTATGAGAGGGTATCCTACGACCCGTGCACGGTCCAGCTGCCATGATATCAACCCGAATACGTGCTAGCCTGGTTTGACACATTGAAATCAAATTGATTGCAACTGAATTTGTAAACTTTCATTGGCGGATCGTATGAGTTCATAGTGGGTATATCATCATCTTGGGTTCCAGATCATGTTCCACGAATCAGGTTAAGTCGCTAACTTCACTCGACAGTGTGACTGTTAGAGGTGCATACTAGACCTGGCTGGACATGTAATGGACAATATCCGTTTCAGAATTGGTACATAGTAAGAAAGTTTATATCCTAAAGGCAAATCAGAACAGGCTGGGGGACATGCATTCACGCCGGTACTTAGATTTGTCCAAAGTATGGTCTTTCTAGCTTCATTTCTCCGAAAATGCCTCCTTTCAAAGAAACAATACAAATCAAAAGAAAAAAAAAAAAA